TCATCCTTAGAGAGTCAAATTTCCACCTTGACTTCTCTAATAAAGGAATTTATATTAAACTCAAAACCTCAAGATGTCAAGACATGTCTCACAAGCATCTTACGGATTTTTGTCCAAAGCTCCGAGATGAATACCTTGAACAAACTGATGATGTTGGTTACCAACGGGAAGTACCTCACATGAGGTATGATCTGTTCTCCAACTATAACATGTCTACGGAGGATATGGTCCGGGCTATTGCTACCAACATGACCACCATGCAAAACAACATGGTGCAATTCCAAAATGAGACCAAGTCTAGCATTTTAAACTTGGAAACTCAAGTGATTCAAATAGCCGGAGCCGTAAGGAGACTTGAAGCAAGGGATTCGGAAAAACTTCCCTCTCAAATAGAATGTGATCCTAAATGGCAAATTTTTGCATTGACAAATGAGAAGGAAATGCAAAAGGAGATCCAAAATCCAGAATAATTGGAAGAAGAAAGAGACACAGAGCTCCAGCTGGTCAAAGAAGAGGATGAACCGAGTTTCAAGGTCAAATATCTACCCTTTTCATTCTTTGAGGTACCCCCAACAGTTCTACAAACTTTGAGGGAAACTCATAAAATTGAAAAGGATGATGACATTTTTGAAATCTTCAGCAAAATTGAGGGATCAAAATATTTTCTCTTGACCATGTTAAATGATAATTTCTTTCCCTCACTCTCACCACATAAATCAATGGAAATCTGGATATTTTATCCTGGAAAGATTCTCAAAGTGAAGGGTCAGAAAATTGAGCATTTCTATGAATGTCCTAGGAATGAAAATTTGAACAAGATTAATTATCATGATCCAAGTTTGAACATTTGAATACAATGATGGCGTCGTGCCGCGACGTTAAACGAGGCGCTTCTTGGGAGGCAACCCATGCAAGGTATGTTTACTTATTTTATTTCATTTTTGCACTTTTCAAAAAAAATCGTATCACCCCATTTGAACCCAACACCCCAAACCCTCCATAGTTACAATTTCACACTTTCATATCTTCTTCATACATCCACCAAATCAACAAACTAAACCCATATTCTTCTTATCCTCCCCACATTTTTTCATTTCTATACCAACAAAACCCACCAAATAATCCAAAATCCGAATTCCCTAACTCTACCTACACCAAGTCTGAATTCTCCTTATCTATGACGTCTTGAAGATGAGCACTAGGGACAGTGTTTTGGCTAGCTTGGGGGGGGGGGAGTTTCATGGAATACTCACACTCATACTCTTTATTCTTGTTTTAAAAAAAAAGAAAAAAAAAACATAAAACAAAGCTAATTAGGTTGAAAACCCAAATGGGCAATCTAAGCAATACAAGCAAAAAAAAACTGAGTGAGTAGGGGAGAAAGAAAAAAAATGAGAGGCTAGGATAAATTAAAAAAAAAAATATCCTAGGCAAAATAAGAGAAATGAGAGAAATTATTTTTACAGGGATGTGGTGATACAATGATGAAGAGGAGTTGATAGAAGACAAGTAAACCCAATATCATGAAGTGTGTAGTACATAAGTGGAATCATTTCACTTTGTAAAACATATTTTAAACATTACTTGGTTGGCTTTTGCTTGTTCATGATTGTTTAAAGTGTTGATGAAACATTGACTTTACTCGAGGACGAGTAAAGAAACTAAGCATGGGGGAGTTGATAGAGTTGTATTTTTATTATGTATTATTTCTATTTTAACTAGTTTTATTTGTTGTTGTTTGGAAAATTACACACTTTTGGTGTAATTAGTTAATTTTCTTAGATAGATGTAATTTGTTTAGATTGGGATTATTCTGGGCTTGAAAAAGATCAAGATCATCCAAAGGATCAAGTTTGGAGCCCAAAAGATCAAGGAAAGTGCAAGGGAACAAGATAAAAAGAAGATTGAAAAAATATTTCATATACCCGGTCGGGTATAGGCAATACCCGATCGGGTATTGAGTTGATTCGGGTGTCAAAATCAGAATCTAGAGAGACAAAAGAACATGTAAGATTTTGAGTTTTTGGCTCATACCCGACCGGGTATGCCAACATACCCGACCGGGTATGTCCCGAAAAGTCATTTTCCGCGGGAAACTGCCTAAAATACCCGATCGGGTACCCTAAAATACCCGACCGGGTATGCCAACCACCCTGCCACCTCCAAACACCTATAAATTCACCCCTTTTCCTTCACAATAATATCATTCCTTCTTCCATACTCTTAAGCTCAGTTTAGAATAGTATTTCTTTTCTATTTTTATAGCATTTTTAGTCTCCAAATGAGGAGCTAAACTTCCATTTCTTGGTGTTGCTCTTGAAGCTTGTTGTTTATAAAAGTTGTGAGTTATTTTCTTAACTTCTTCTCTTGAATATAATTTTTCCCTTACTCCATCTATATATTAATGTTGGGGAGTGTTACTAAGATGACAATTAGATAACATCTCGACATTAGTTATAGTAGTATTTATTTACTTCCTCTATATTAATGTTGGAGAGTGTTGCTAAGATGACAATTAGTTAACATCTTGACATTAGTTATAGTAGGATTATTCATCTTTAATTTTCTTCCTTGAATATTAATTCTTCCCTTAATCTATCTCTATATTAATGTTGGGTAGTGTTGCTAAGATGACAATTAGTTAACATCTCGACATTAATTACTACTAGAAACGTTCAACGAACCGATGGTTAATCGTTGATGGTTTCACAAGTAAGTAACTTCAGTTTATTAATGCACGGTTGTGGTTAATAAACTTAAGAGTGATTAATTTTGTTGGTTAAACCGAAACCGTTGTGTTGAGGTTATCAATCTCAATTGATTTCATCAAGGAGTTAAAAGATTAAATGCTACTATCAAGTCGGTATATGGCGGTGTTCTATACTTGACTAATAGTAAGGGTTATTAATGAACGGTCGTTGTTAATAACTACCCTCGATGAATTGGATATACTCCTCGAGTATTCGAGAGGGGACAAGTTATAGATATAACAATGATCGACTAAAATATATCAACAAGTGGAAAGTAGCAATGTCAAGTCCTTTTTATCTTTGAATTAAAATCACATATAAGTTGTTCATCTTTGTGTTTAATTATATTAAATCACTCAATCAAAGCCCCCCTTTTATTCACTTGTTTTATTTAAAAAGATAATTATTCCTTTCCCTGTGGATACGAACTCTACTTCACCTATACTACGTATAATTGTTAGTATCGAATTTATTTTGACGCACTTTGACAAAGTGCTCGTCACGTCACTTATGTAAATCCAAAATTTAATCGAAAAGCAGAATTCCTTGTGTACAATAGCATCCCTATTAAAATCAAAACTCATCATTTTAATCAATTTCTTGGTATCATTAAGTTTGACGCTATTAGTTACCCTTATGTTCTGTAAATTGATTTTCGAGTAGACTTTGGTTGGGTCCTACATTTTGTAATCTTCCTTTTCTGATAAACTAGTGAGGTGTTTCCTGCAAAAAAAAAAACAAATACTTGCTTCACGTAAAATAAATTTATAAGAAATTTATAATGTAAAATCTCTTATTGACTACAATTTGTTATTTTGACTACAAGTTGGTCCTTTGTTTAATTGATTTTGTGCTAAGAGAAAAATTAGTTGATTTCGGATGCCTTAACTGGAAAACCAGTATTTCAGCCGACTGCGATGTTTCAGTAGGCTGCTGAATTCTGGTTTTTCAGTTGGCTTCCATTTTTAATGAATTTCAGTTAACTCTTTTTTGTACCTTTTCTTTTTTATTCTTTTCTTTTTGTTTTTGGTACGTTTCTTCTCTTTTAGTACTCTTTGCTCTTTGTGAGTACTTAATCACTAATGATAGCAAGTACAAGAGATACTAGTCTAATTAGGGGTGGGATCGGTCCGGTCTGGGTCGGGTTTTTTCTAAACCCGGAAATTATCTGGAAGGTCTCGAGTTATGAAAATTAGGGACCGGAACAAAGCCCATTATATTCGGTCCGAGTTGGGTTTTTGGTAGCCTGGGTTCGGTCCGGGTTCGGGTTGGGCCGGTTAAAGCCCGGACGTGAAATATCTCATTATTCTTTTATATTTTAACATCTATTTTCAAATAAAATTAATCAAAAATACAAACCGCAAATAATAACACAAATATTAGTCTCCAAAATCACCAACAATTCAAATCCAAAGAAGATAGTTATCTTAATATTTTATTTAAGATGCATACAAATAAATAATATAAGTTTCTTAAATATATTACGAAATAAAATTTATAGATAAAAATGTGACTAGAGTTTCTATAAATATATTTTCATAGTCATTACGCTAAACAAATTCATCATATTTGTAGTCACTAAAAGTTACTAAATCATTTTTTTCTACTGTGATTATAATCATATATTAGAAAATATTTATAAATTTATATTCATATATTATATTAATTTTATATTAAAGTTAGTTGTTTTGATTTTTATCAGTCCAGACCAAGTTATAGATTTTAAGGCACATTAATGAGCCCAGCATTTCAAGTTCAATCTAGTTTTCTTTTTATTCGGGCCGGTTAAAAAGAAAAACCCTGGGCCGCGATCATAATTCTGGTCGGCCTAGGGTCGGTTTCCGAGTTTCGATTCGGTTTTTCTCACCCCTAAGTCTAATACAAGAATATTAAAGGGGGTGACATCATCAAAACAACATACATATTAATCATCAAAATCTAGGGAACCTAACAATTTCCCCCTTTTTGATGATGCCAAAAACTAGAATCAAAATACTTTCAAAGAAGCAAAACAACATTAGAAGTCCTAGTGTTTGATTCTATTTTAAAAAAAAAAATTTAGAATATTTTTTTATTAAGAGAATAAAGAAAAAATTATATGCAAAATAGTTAAAATCATCATCTACAACTTTAATCATATCAGCTAAAAAAACGTTAAATATTTTAGTTATTAACCATTTGATATCCAAATTCAAAAGTTGCATGTTTAGTGAAAAAAGACTAATAATTCTAATACATCAATCTCTAAATTAATAGTTATGTTTTCCAACTCTTTAAATGATAACTAATATATCCTCGGGTACATAAACAAAACGTAAGGCACAAAATTAACAAGTATATCAAAATTCAAAAGAGAGAAATGTAACGCGCCAATTAGAATAGGGGAAAATAATTAAAATACCCCAAACTTTCAAGGGGTGTGAGGTAAGCACTCCAAACTTGCATATGTAATTTAAATACCCCAAACTTTGTATAAAAAGTTATTTTAGCACCATGCTCATGTATTATTTCTTTCAAAAAATGCTACTTTTTGGTGTTAATTTCATAATTACAAATATTTTACCATTCATGCAGATACAATTAGCATTCTAAACTTACATTATGAAATAAATAGTATTAACCCTTCCACTCCATATAATTGCAACATTTTCAATTTGCTATTTTAAATTATGCAATTAACACCATAAATTTATATTTTTGAAATAAATAATACATGATCATGGTGTTAAAATAACTTTTTGTAAAATGTTCGGGGTATTAAATCACTTATGAAAATTTGGGGTGTTTATCTCACACCCCTTCAAAGTTAGGGGTATTTTAATTATTTTTCCCATTAGAATATAAACTAATAACATTAAAAACTACAGAGTGGTCTACAATTGTCAACAGGGAACGCCCATCCACCATGAACAAAATGGTAGGGTACTAGTTTTCATGTCCCTAAGAGATCTGGTCAACTCAACTCTGAACCACACCAAAACAACACTCTTCAGAGATTCATCAAAATCTGACTTCTAAACTCTATCCTCAATGGTAAATGGTAGGAGGAACTGCTGCAGGCGCTGGCTGCTGTACAGGTGTTAGAGTTGCTGCGACAGCCGGCTGCGCATAATTCTGCACATCAGAAGGGCGCGTTTGAATTTCAGAAAAATACTAGGGAAAGAAAATAGTAAGGACAACTGGAAGGAAATAAGAAATTATGTGCACAAGAGTGAAAAATCTAAATTCTATGTCCTACAAAAGATAATATTGTTTGACTTTCATTTTCCTTTGGATTATCCAATGTAAAACTAAATACATGAAAATATACCTAGGTAATTTCCTAAAAGAGCAAATATTATTCTTCTTTTAATGGATATCGAAAAGAATTTACCTGTGAAGGATATGTTGAAGGATAAGCTCCATAAGGTGCAGCTTGAGGTACTGATGTAGGAGGTACTTGTGTAGCTCCATAAGCACTTCCGTAGCTACCGTAGGCATTATATGCAGCCGTCTGAAACAAACCCAGTAAAAGATGCTCTAAGTCAAGGAATTACTAAAATACAGAACTAATCATACCCTATGCAGCTATGCTTCAATTATTTAAAATAGGATATTTGAAAAGAAGAAAACCCAAAGCAAAAAAAAAAGAAAAAATGATAAGAATAATCCCACCTTTACATAATCCCAAAATAATCCCACATTTGCACCCCATCTTCTTTCATTGGACCCTGACCAGGTTTTTTACCTTTCTTTGAAAATCTTATATAATAAAAAAGTGAAAGGTGATATTATTAATATGATTTTCAAAGAAAGCGTAAAAAATCTGGTCAGGGTCCAATGAAACATGGGGTGCAAAGGTGGGATTATTCTGGGATTACATAAAGGTGAGATTATTCTGGGATTACGTAAAGGTGGGATTATTATGAGAAGACTAGTGAAAGGTGGGATTATTCTAGTCTATTTTTCCAAAAAAAACACTGGGGGTGATAAAATGGTCAAACAGGCAAGCCAAACTACGACCTTGGCAAAAATAAAGTACTGAGAAAAATGTGCCCCATGGTTCTGCTTGATAAAAAGTGGGAACAGTATATTTTACTTGTTGGGTATAGGCAGGATTCCACTGCTGAGCTTGAACTTGAGCATGAGTTGTTTGTGGCCAAGTTTGGGGCTGTATGCCGTAACCTGCATGCCACTGGTTCTGCACAGCAGCAGGATATGACCCCACTCCTGATACAGCAACTGGGGTACCAGCTTTAGCCAACTTTGTCTTGTCAGAAGCCAGATAATCATCTGCATGACGCTTCTTTGACTCTAACAAAGAGGTTCTGTTACATAAGAAGAGCTTGGCATGTCGATCATCAGCTTTCTTGATAGTTTTTGTGTCCCCAAAAAGGTCCAAAAACTGCAGAAACCAGTAGAATTATCACATCAAGGCATGGAACAAATCTTGCAAAATTGACAATATTAACTCTGCATACATTAAATAGTTTTAAAACTTGACATAAAATAAAATTCATTTAGTGTTAAGTGTTAACCAAAAGAAGGGTAGAGTGATTACTTTGTAAAACTCCTTAATGTGTGCATTTTTTTTCTAAGACGTCAATTATTTTGGGATAGATGGAGTAATTACCAATAGATTTCATATGCCACCACATTCATGAACTCTTGTGAGATAAAACAACCATCTCTACTCAGTACTCACAAGTTTTTTTAATCAATGCATTGCAAAGTAAAACGTATTAAATAATCACCTCCAAATAAATGCTTGATAACTCTTCTCTTTCATCAATGCTTGCAACAGTAGATGCATCAATTGTAGGAACAATGAATCTATCAACTAGGGGATCCAAATAATCGATTCTCTTTGTATGTGGCTGAATTGATTCTAAATGGATGATTGCCTACAGGACAATGAAAGAGAGAAGCACGCAGCAAGAATGCCAAATTAATATGATAAACAAGGACTCCAATAACATTTTTGGGAATGTACCAGGCCATTCAGTTCAAGAGCACGGGAGAGGGGACAGAAAGATACCTCAAGTAGTGGTTTAGACAAGTTTCCATTTTCAACTGCCTGATCAATGATTTCTCTAGCTTTTTCCACTTTGCCAGAAACCTTCAGATATTTTATCGTAAAGAACACACAAAAATAAACAGAAACCAGATATAACCCATGCTACATCAATTTTGAAGGAAACCTAATGACAGGCTAAAACATAGTATTAAAACTACAAAAGCAATCAGGCTTCTCTTGCACAAGGGATATAAAAGGATAGATCCAAAACAACAAAAATACAAAATAAACAAAACTTCACTTCAAAAGGGGGGATAGTTTTAAAGAACATATTGAGGAATGAAGACAGCCATGTCTGCTGCACTCCACGAAATTGCTAGATAATTTCCTTTGGTAGGGAATACTTCATTCAAACCTAATCTATTATCCAAAAGAAAGAGTACCCCGACCACGAAACAAAAAGACTTGGTGTGTGAAAAAATGAATTTAAAAGCTTTTCAATTATGATTGGTCACCAAACTAGTAAGACTAAAACAGGCTAAAATTACACATTTTGCAGGGACCTAAAACAAAATGTGTCATATTTGCAGGGACTTAAACCATATTTAAGCCAATAAATTAAATGCAAAGATGGCCAAGCTCATGGCAATTCTCAATCTTACACCTTTTGCAAAAAATTGAACTAATGAGACTAAACATAGCTAACATTGCAAAGTATATATGAAGATGGACAAGCTCATAGTGATGCTCAATCCTACAACTTTTGTTAAAATAACAAAAGTTAAAAGTAGACCCAAAAAAATGTCATTTTTAACAAAAATGAATTTTGTTAAAAGGTGTAGCTGTCAGGATGAAAGAGCCTTTTACTATGGAATAAAAGACGTGGAAAAGGTATCAATACAAAAGTGCTTGGTCAGTCCCAAAAAAATTATGTTACAAAAAAGTAGACCCAAAAAAATGTCATTTTTAACAAAAACAAGCTGCTAATTTTTTTTGGATTTCCCAAAAAAGACAAAGACAAGTTCAATATGATAAATTTGGTCAAACAATTGAACAAACAAAAAAATATTTGTAGGATTCATGATTTAAAAGATAAAAAAGATGCCACTCAAGAAATAAAGGCTAATAAGATGCATACCAAGTAAAGAAACCGGGAGTATTGGGCAAACAGTAAAGGTAAAGATTGTGAGTGTTCTTTTGCTTTTTCAATTGCAATAGCTTGCTCATATAGAGAACATGCATCATCAAGGTTTCCCTGCAATACAGATAAAGAGTCTAAATAAAACACAAAATACACAAAGCAATATGCAAAAACAAAACAAAAACTCAGCATGTAAATAAAAATCCGTACAAGTCGATGTTCCATGTTGGCATGTTTAATAGTTGCTTCCAAAAGCCCAGGTGAAATTTCAGAGTGAAGAAGTTGATATGCAGCTCGGGCTCCAGGAATATCACCCTGCTGTTCTCGAAATCGAGCAGCGAAGAGGTGAATCTCAGGTTGTCTCTGTATTGAATAAAAAACTGCTAAAATCAATACATCACCATACAGATAAAAGGAAATCAATCAATAGGGTGATCATATAGAAAAATGGAAAATGATATGCATATCAAATCAAAATTGAGAAATTCATCAATTTCAATTAAATTAACTAATACTCCCTTTGTCCCAAAAACAACTTCACAACCACTATTCATTGGTCAACTTGAATCACTCCTAATCGTTTACTTTATACATCAAATTTTTATCAAACTTAAATTTTCTTGATCAGGCTTTGTAGTGGTTTTAATGTAGTTTTTGAATATGTAAATTTTATTTACTAAAAATAATCCGAGTGTGAACTGTGAACACGGATCGAGTTGCTTTATCATCAGTCAAGCATCGTAAACCGAACGGGAAGTTAATTTTTGGAAGGAGGTAGTATTTGTGAGGGCGCAAAAAACTTATAGCAGCCACATTATTGTAATGTTGTTGATATCAACTTAGTTTTAAAAGGCTCAAGGCGCATCAAAGCCATTTAGGTAACCAGAGTCAAGACGCGAAAACAGCATTGCAAAGCAGTTGATATAACACTAGTTTCAAAGGGGCAAGGTGCATCAGAGGCGATTTAAGATCAAGCGGAGCCGAGGCGCGAAGGGAAGGAGTGCGTCTCGCAGAACTGAGGTGTAAGAGGAAGAAGAGGAGAAGCAAAGGCAAGCGCCTCCTGGAACGGAGGAAGCAGGAGGAGAAGGGGCAGAATAAGGACAATAGCCCTGTGCCACTGGCAGTCTGACGAAAGAGGGATCTTCATTCATTTTTGTGACCTACAAATTTTGTTTGTGTCATCACTTTTAAATAAATAAATAAAATGTGACAAAGATCTAGGATTCCAAGAGGGAAGCAGAGATGCTATGCCTCATGTCTGCAGCAGAGGCGCATGACTCATGGAACCTACTGTGCACAGACTTCCTGGGGCAATATAGTTTACTGCCTTGCACACCTTGTGCCTCTGCATGCCTCCAGGGCACTTTATAAACTTAGGATATAACAACCTCCACCTACTCACTATTATGAAACAAATTCACATAAGCAATATCAGTCACACAGATAGTGATTATGGAGCACCTGTTAAAAAACAAACAACAATACCTTCACAAAAACTTGAGTTGCACGAGCAATAGCATTATCAGCAAGATCCATACTTCCACTAGCCTCCATGCACAAAATATATCTTATCCAATATTCAGGATAATTCGCACAAGCAATCAGGCATCGCTCATATAGTTTGACAACCTGACATTCACAGAAATTATAGGGTCAAAAGTTCGCATTCCAGCCAAATGAAACAAATAAACTTCAAAACAAGTAGATACAAGGAGAAATTCATAATAGTACTCCGTTGGGCGGATCATGGAGGCCCCTCTATTATCAATGAGGGACCGTCCTTGACTGACATGGTTAGGAAGATAAGAGACCTGCATGCATAACATTTTGACTTTAAAGCAGGGATTACACCGTACAACACATCATGAACCTAGAATGTCGACTCACAATGAGAATTTGAGGTACTTAGCCTTACAGAAAGCAAATTGGATGGTTCCTGCGTGATCCAAGTTCAATATCCCATTTTAAAGATGCTTCATGTGATGATTTAGCCGATAAAGCATATGGTGCAGCTATTACTTAACTGTTAGTCAATACGAAATGAGGACGGAAAAAGCTAACCACATAGACTGAAAAACACCCAGTATAACAATAGTCCCAAATACCTTATTGAAGTCATCATTTCCTTCAATGAAATCAAGATAACTGTGCCAATTTTCGAGCTCTGCAGAATTTAGGGTGCGAACATGGAAGTAGGGTCTCCTGATGGCAGTTTCAAACCCGATGATCTTAGAATCAAACTCTTTGGCCTTCTTATAGATCTCTTCTCTAATGGAGATGTATTTCTCCAACTCCTCTGCATCCTTTAGGCTTGAACTTGCAGGCTTCAAAGACTCTGTATTAGGATGAACCTCTCCTTCAACTTGCTCAACAATGGTGGTATCAGAACCGGCAGCAACTGCTGCTGCTGCTTCCCTTTCTTCATCAGTATGCAATTCTGATAGTGGCCTACTGGCAACCAGCTCCTTGAAACTGTGAGATTGCAATCAGCCAAAGAAAAATCATTTATAATGTGATAATACATTCAGCCATTCAGGCATTATGTCCTTTGTACCCTTGAGGACATTTAATTCACGGGATTAATCGCAACACCGGTGATATATTTCATGTTATGCTCATAAGTTGAAAAGGTGTGACAATAAAGAAAAGAACAATATGGATAAAATCTTGATCTTCAGATGTCTTGAGCATCCAAGAAACCAGCACAAACACACAAAAGCAAAATGCAATACACTTGACTTTTTTACGAAAGTGACACAGGAGCTTACCCTTCAAAGTAGCGATCCAATTGTTGGTTTGGAATTTCCAGAACCCGTGTGTAAATTGTGGCAACATGTGGCCATGATTGTTGTGTATACTCATATTCGAGGTACTTATCCCACAAAGGAAATGATAGGTAGTCTGTTCCAACATACGCCAACGCTCTTTCAAACAACCTGAACACAAGACCAAGAAGCTGTAGAATTACAAGATATGGACTTTCAACATGTCATACAAATTACAAATTCAAGAACATTGAAGAGGATGCATTGATTCATCCAAAGAGCATGATACTTCCAAACTTTGACACAAATACACTGCATTTACCTTCCTCAACACTATCATACCAGGTCTCGGAAAGAGCACTCATAGATCATCTTAGCCTTATCGGATGGACCTTCTTGGCAGCAATTGTATTTTGATGCACCTCATGTGCATTAAAAACAGCAAAAAATCATGGAGAACTACATGGACTATGACACAGCCCTAAGGAGAAGGGAAAAATATAAGGGGGAGATAATGCCATATTAAAATGAATCCTAATAAATTCAGACAGCTACCGGATAGAATGGCCAAGAATCACAAGTTATCACGGGTGTGCATTCCAAACAAACCTTTACACCACATGTGAAACAGCTGTTGCATAGTTGCTAGTACGCTGAAATAAGATTAGAGAGGAATCGAGCACACTCTGGTGTAGGAGAGAGGGACACCATAGAGCAATGATCTCCAATGCCAATGATCCCCCGAAAATAAAACTAATAAATGAAACAAATCAATGAAACATACCTTCTAATTGTTTCAGGATCTCCATATGTGTTTATGGCAAATACACAATAATGCAACCACATATCTACAGAATATGTCACTCCTTGAACTGCTCGCTCGTATACCTCAACAACTTTATCCATACAACCAATCCGTGCCTCGTGATCTGCATACTTCTTCCAGTAACCATAACACAAAGGAAACTCCGCCAAAAATGTATCATAAACTTTACGAATCTTCACAATGTTCCCCTGCACATATTGAAAAAATATCCATATCAAAGCACAAGAACATGCCAAAACAGGTTATAAGTAATTAAAAAACAATTGTGTATGCCACCATGGTAGGGATGCAGCTGAAATGAATGAGGGGGATAAATCTTAGGTCGGGTTTATTCTAGAAGGAGAAATAGAATAGTAGTTGATAGTTATTTTTGGCTAAAGGGTCAAATAGGTCCCTGTACCTTTCTGGATTGCTCAATTTGCCCCCTGAACCCAAAAAAGCTCCAATTAGCACTCTGAACTCGATAAAAAGATTCAAATTTCACTTTTAGCAGGTCCGCCGGTCATCGCCACGTCATCCGGTAGGGTGCCAGGTGTGCATGTGACGTGGCAACTTAGGGGGTCAAATAAGCCCCTGAACCCGACCAAATCGTTCAATTTACCCCCTCAACCCCAAAAAATGTCAAATTTTAAAAATAAAATAAAATAAAATAAAAATAATAAATAATAAATATAAAATAAAATTATAAATAAAATACATGTCTAAAAGATAAGATATATTAATATGAAATATTTATCGTTCACAGTTAATTCAAAATAAAAAGTAAAATATAAACTAAAAAAATCTTATGTTTATTTCCATATTTTATAACTACTACGTATATTTCATATAAGAAATAAACAATGCAACTTTACCAACATATTTAAATTTTTATTTTATGTATTATATCTAATGGTTTGTAATTTTTCAGGTGGAGAAGACTAGGAGTCCGACTCCTCGAGGGATCTTCTCTTAGGTCACACTTCAGACAACGAAAACGGACTCCTTTATCTACGGTGGAAGATCTACGAGATTTCGACACCAATCTGGATATTTGTAATAAGGCATTGCAGGTGACGAGGGATAACTGTCTGCCTACGAGCAATTTGAATTTGCAGATGAATACCTACAGAAAGAGGAATCAACGTTCACATCGTATGAGAACACGGTCTCAAACTCTCACAGAGCGTTGATGCTTTTCAATAAGGGCTCAGGGAGAAAGGGTTTCCTTTGATGGGGCTGGATTAGGGAGAAAGGGGTTCCTTTGATGGGGCTTCCAAATACTCAGGGTTGAGCTTTTATCTGTTTGTTGCTTTCCTTTTATTTCTTTCCCTTTTTCCTTCTTTTGTCTTGTACTTTTTATTGTCCTCTTTTCTTTAATAAATGTTTCCTTTCTTCAAAAAAAAAATCTAATGGTTTGTAATATAACACAAATTTTAGGTTTTTGGTTTGATAATTTATACGAAGCATTATGTTTAAATTATCCATTTGTATTTTTTTGTTACATACTACGTATTTCTTAATTTATTTAAAAATATACTAAAAATAAATATACAATTCTTATGTAACTATTTTTTTCAAAGTTACCGATTACACTTTTTTATATCTGTAGTAACATACAAATTACTCATATATAAGAATTAAAATTAAAATATAAAAATAGTAACTACAAATAGTAACTACACTTTTTCACGTATTATATGTAAGAATTAATTTCTTTTAGTTTATATTTTATTTCTTTATTTTGAATTTACCAAAAAATATAAAAATATTTATATTTTATATTTTGACTTATTTTTTATTTTCTATTTTCCTTTTTTATTTCTATTTTTCGTATATTTGACATTTTTTAAGGGTTGAGGGGGTTAATTGAACGATTTGGTCGGGTTCAGGGGCTTATTTGACCCCCTAAGTTGCCACGTCACATGCACAGTTGGCACCCTACCGGGTGACGTGGCGATGACCGGATTGTGACCCGCTCAAAGTGAAATTTGAATCTTTTTATCGAGTTCAGGGTGCTAGTTGGAGCTTTTTTGGGTTAAGGGGGCAAATTGAGCAATCCGGAAAGGTACAGGGACCAATTTGACCCTTTAGCCGTTATTTTTCTGTTATTAACTAATAACTAAAGTCAGTTGTACTGGAAGTCTATAAATAGAATAAGGCTGGGAAGGGAGGAGCAGGCTGTTTTAGACTACTTGTCTTAGGACTGGGAAGTTAGAGAATTAATCCTCTCTGTCTTTTGGGGGCTTCGGCCATTGTACTGTTCTTCTTCAATAAAGTTGCAGTTTGATTTCTTGATATCTTTCTGTGAAGTATCTGTATAATTGGATATTTCAATCAGAGGTATCAGAGAACGTCGATCACTGTGGATGATCTTAGGCGTGCAAAGATGGAAGGAAGAATTAATGAGCTGGAAGGAAGCAGTGAGAAATAATGGCAACAACTGCAACATTAGCTACGACCATGGCGGCGATACAGGAGAGCATCACAAACCTGGAAAAGAGAATCCAGAATCGATCGAAGAGCAGGTCGCACTCTTCGCATAGGAATGCTGAGTAGAGTTAATAAAATGTAGTTGGGTATCCTAATAGATTTGGTGCACCACCCTTCATCAAAGGGAATGTTGGAAGAGCAGAATCATTTTGAGGGTTTCAAAACTGACGGTGTGAATTCTGTGAAATATATCCGAAAGGAGTTTGGAGTAGGATTGACAGAGAATGAAGGGGTATTGTGGGTAAAGAGATAAGGGCTACAGATGACAAGAAATATGACACATTGGGTGTAGTCTACATTGGACTTCTCGTTATTGATCCTAGGAAATACATGACAGATGCTACAATTTCAAGGAGTGAAGCAACTGAAACTCAAGGGCTTGAGTTATATCCTGCAGCAAGAGCTATTAACGAGTGGAAGAGTGAGCACTTGGTGATTAGTAAAGCTCAGTTCCACCATGAACAAAACCACCCAAGTGGTAATGATGCTTTGAAAGTAGAGAATCTATTGATGCTTTTGCTAGAAGAAGTGAGGAGGATATTTCAAGAAGGGAAGATCCTTGCTCGGAAACCAGTTAGATATTGGGAAGGTAGAAGCACCAGGAAGAAGAGAAAGCAGAAGATTTTGGCTATTTCCTACCGCCCACCTTGAGGGCAAGGTGGATGTTTAGGGGAGGAGTATTGATAGGGATGCAGCTGAAATGAACGAGGGGATAAATATTTAGGCCGGGTCTATTCTAGGAGTAAATAAAATAGTAGTTGGTAGTTATGTTTCTATTATTAACTAATAACTAAAGTCAGTTGTACTGGGAGTCTATAAATAGAATAAGGCTGGGAGGGAAGGAGCAGGCTGTTTTAGACTATTTGTCTTGGGACTCGGAAGTTAGAGAATTAATCCTCTCTATCTTTTGGGGGCTTCGGCCATTGTACTGTTCTTCAATAAAGTTGCAGTTTGATTTCTTGATATCTTTCTATGAAGTATATGTATAATTGGGTATTTCTATCACACCATTTGTCCTTCTAGGTTTCTTTCATTCTTTTCCTTCTGTTTTTTATCTTATTGGGATGGAGGAGGGACTGCTACCAATACAAGTATGCAAGTAACACCAAATAATGGGAACCACGCTAAACCATACCTCTGATACTTTCTCAGTTTCCTCTATAAGGGCAGTCCAGGCACCAAAATCTAGATAATTTGTTCTCACAATGCTCCATAATCGTTCCTCTTCATGAGATATTGCTAAAACATTTAAATATCAAGATTTCAGTAAGTCATGCTGACAAAGTACAGGTCTTAAAAACAGGACTACTGCTGAAATTCCAAGCACAACATACATCTCATCCATTAATACATTGTAAGATGTCCAATGAATCACTAGACGAAGACCATCCATCATTCCAAATATAAATAAAAAATTGGCACTTACAACAAGTAAAGAAGGAAACGTTAATACTAATAATAGCCAACAATTGGTTAGCACACAAATAAGTTGCCACTTGCTTCAATGTACACACTCTCTATCCCTTATTTATCTTCATTCCTATTTCCTTTATTCTGAAGTTATATCATCTTTCAATTTTGAAAATGATTCGTTGACATATATTGCTTTTCACTAAAAAAATAGCGCACGGTCAGATGAGGAAGATAATAAAGGGAAAGAGGGAGTGAGAGACTTTGGCTACATATGAATGGTAACACACTCCACATTCACAAAATTACACACTTGAACTTATGATTGATTCATTACCAGAATCACCTACTGGCTGATGCATTGTGGCGGAATCATGAATACTGTCTGATTGTATTCCATTTTCTATGACACTGGTGAATACTGCATCTCTCACTTCGCTATTATTTCCATTTAGAGAAGTAGTAAATGAGGTAGCTTGAGATGCATCTACTTGTACAGGGACAGTAGGGATTTCCTGCTGAGCAGAGTCTGTAAACCTAGCCGCACCTACATCAGAACTTCTATCCACAAGTGGCGCAGTATGTGTTGCTGAATATTCTACAGAGGTTTCAGGAACCACATTGTTCTCCAGTTCAGAAGTATTTGAACCTCCAATTTTATGATCAGCAGATTCATAGTCCATGGCAGTCAAGGATTGAGTCACCACAGTGCCTTGATCAGTCATTGCTAAGAAACAACCTAGAAAAGATTTAAGAGAGAAATGAATTATTAAGAATGCTAACAATTAGAACTCCTCATTGGGTTCTAAAATCAATTGTAAATGTTAATGAATGAATTGCAGATGGTAAAGACAACTGGAGTAAATACTGTGGAGTAGCACGAGTTAAATTAAACTTCATAACTAAAAGTGGAAAACTTTAGACAATCATTTATGGTTTTCATTAGCTAATGGTTCATATACTCATGCCGATTACTCTCAGTAAAATAGCGTAGATTCGTAGATAACAACGAGGACGAATATATAGTACGGCATCTTGTTTTCTTAAAAGGCCTGCCAAAACTGACCAAAGAAAAAGTCTAACAAATATCAAAGTAGACTATCCGGTCAAGAAGCCCTCGTGCTTATAACTAAAGAATTGATCATTCTTTTATATTTGCATTAACTTATACACTTTTGATGTTTTGACTCAAATGTATAGTAGAATAATGCAGGCTGTAGAAAAATGTGAAACTCTAACAAGTAGCTAAGCAATATTGGTAGCAATTTTGTGGTCCAAAATTACAAAATTCTAACTTTTTAGAATTTATACCAAACCGAAAAAATGGAGCAAGAACAGCTTGTAGGTGTTTACTTCACTGCTAAAGTCACAGTTAGGTTAGTAAGACAGGTGAAGTAAACACGCACACTGCTTAAAAAGCCGCTTACTAACCGAAAGAGGTGCTTAAAGTGCCGCTTATTAAGCATACCACCCCCCATGTATTAATTAAGCGGCACTTTAAGCTTTTTCAGTTTCCGAATTTACCCATTGCCCTTAACCTATTGTTATCCCTGTCCCACCTCGACCCCAACCCCACCCTACCCCAACCCCACCCTACCCTTATCCCACCTACTCTGACCCCACCCTACCTCGACCCCACCCTACCCTACCCCACCCCGACCCCACCCTACCCTACCCCACCCCTACCCTTACCCCACCTACCCCGACCCCACCCCACCCCCTACCCTTACCCCACCTACCCCGACCCCACCCCGACCCTTACCCCACCTACCCCGACCCCACCCCACCCCTACCCTTATACCCTACCCCTACCCGACCCCACCTTACCCCTAACCTACCCCATCCTACCCCTACCCGACCCCACCCTAGCACTACCCTACCTACCCAATCCCACCCCTACCCTACTTACCCGACCACACACCTACCCCCACCCTACCTACCCGAACCCACCCTACCACTACCCTACTTACCCAACCCCACCCCTACCCTACCTACCCGACCCACCCTACCACTACCTGACCTCAATCACCCCACCTACCCCACCCCACCTACCCCACCCCACCCTATACCCCTTACCCCACTATACCTAGGGTGGTGGGGTCTGGGTGGGGCCGATGTGATAGAGGCGCTAGGGGCAGGGTAGGTGTGGTGGGGTAGGGGCAGGGTTGGGGTAAGGTAGGGTAAGGTGGGGTCGGGGTGGGGTCGATGTGGTAAGGGCCTATGGGGGTAGGGGCCTATGGGGTCGGGGGTAGGGTTGCGGTAGGGTGGGGACAGGTTAGGGTGGGGTCGGGTAGGTAGGGTGGGGTCAGGTAGGTAGGGTAGGGGTAGGGGGTAGGGGTAGGCGGTGGGTGGGGTCGGGGTAAGGTAGGGTGGGTAAGGGGTTAGGGGTATGGGTACACATATTATATTATATACTTGTGTTCATGAATGTTTGTGTGTATATATATGTATAGGGTTATTTTGGACATTTTAATGTTAAGCGGTGTTTTAAACCGTTTGAAGTAAACACGGTCTTACAACATTGTTTATTTTATGCGCCGCTTATTAACACGGGTCTTAATAAGCACCGTTTAATAACCGGTGAAGTAAACATGTCCTAAAAATTGAAGTAAAAAGTTCACTACTTCACACTACCAGCCCAGCATCTCTGCATAAAACTATCTATTGCCTAAATAATAATAATAAAGCTGACAAAATGCAGATCTGTCTATGTGTTAGATAATATTAAAAATTTAAACTATAAGTTTTAATGCAATAAATACTCCTAATATTTTAAAAAAAATTACTAAACTCATATTTGAAAACAAAATAAAAAGTATGCAGTCAAATAAGTCCATTATAAACAACAACAACAACAACATCCAAGCCTTAGTCCCAAAAGAATTGGGGTCGGCTAACATGAATCGATACGTGATATCATCACCAAAAGGAAAAGAAAGAAAATAAAGATAAAAAATAAGATATTATGAAAAAGATAATATAAAAAGAGATGAATATACCTAAAAATGATAAAATAAAAAGGATAAAAATAATGTTTACATATATAAGGATAAAAGGATAAAAAAACACAAGAAAAAAATGAGGGGAAAGATAATACGAGATCACTCCTCCACACGAATATCCTCCCTCCACTTTGCTCTCTCCAAAACCATACCCTCATCTAACCCAAGAAGAAGCATATCCCTTTGGACTCCTCTAACCCACGTCTGTTTGGGCCTTCATTTCCCTCTCTTCTCTGCCTCTTCTCCACACATCTCAACTCGTCTGACAATTGCATCACTCGGTCTTCTACACAAATGACCAAACCACCGTAGGCGCGACTCCCGCATCTTGTTTTCAATAGGTGCTACTCCCACCCTTTGTTTGATTGTCTCATTCCTCACGTGGTCCTTCCTAGTATGCCCACACATCCAACGCAGCATGCGTATTTCCGCCACACTCATCTTTTGAATGTGACATTGTTTCACTGCCTAACATTCTACGCCATACAGTATTGCAGGCCTAATTGATGTCCTATAAACTTACCCTTCAGTCTAGTCGGCATATCTCTATCGCATAGAAATCCTGACGCACTCTTCCACTTCATCCACCCTGCTCTGATTCTATGGGATACATCTCCATCTAACTCACCGTCCTGAATTACGGAGCCCATGTAACGGAACATATCGTGATCGGTATCTTCTTACCATCTAGAGTAATTCCGTCATTACTACTCCTTCTACCTCCACCAAACTTGCACTTCATGTACTCCGTCTTGCTCCGACTTAGTCTGAAACCCTTGTTCTCCAAAGTTTCTCACCATACTTCCAACTTTGCTTTACAACTTGATTGTGTCTCATCAATCAATACAATATTGTCGGCAAACCTCATGCACCAAAGTATTTCGTCTTGAATTGACTTTGTAAGTTCATCCATGACTATGGAAAATAAGAAAGGGCTCAGAGTCGATCCTTAGTGGACTCCGATAGTAATAGGGAACTCCGCAGTCCTCCCTACAGTAGTAGGGACACTTGTAGTACAATCCTCATACATATCCATGATGAAACTGATATACTTGCGTGATATGCCTTTTCTAGTTAAGACCCACCAAAGAACTTCTCGAGGTACCCTATCATGAGCTTTTTCTAAGTCAATGAAAACCAAATTCAAATCCTTGTGAGCGTCTCTATACTTCTCCATAAGTTGCCAGAGAAGGTGAATGGCCTTAGTTGTTGAGCGATCAGGCATAAAACCAGATTTATTCTATGAAATCTTCACAGTTCTTCGAAGTCTTTGCTCAATCACTCGCTCCCAAAATTTCATGGTGTGACTCATAAGCTTAATCTCTCTATAGTTGACACAATCTTGTACATCACCTTTATTCTTGAATAAGGGGATAAGAGTACTCTTCCTCCAACTCGTTGGCATCTTGTTGTTTCTCCAAATCATGTTGAGTCCATTATAAACAAAAATACAAAAAATCCAAAACTAGTTTGGCATAAAGTGAGAAAACATTCATCACAACTCCAAGCAAAAACATAGATTGTTCTCCATATATTAATCTCCAAGCATTTTCTCTACAATTCTACATATACATGTTTCACAAATTTATACAAGCAAAGTGTACAAAAGCATAGATGGAGTATTTTAATGATAATAAATCGTATTTTGAGATTAGAAAAAATATAGATAGCAGGTGTTTGGGTGAAAGTGCAGAAGTGATTTTGGTGCTCTAATTTACCCCTAAAACCAGTTTTTTTAGAAGCCGGGGGAGACCAGCTTCTGCAGAAAAAAAGTAGCAGAATCAGAATCAGTTCCAAACACCCCATATTTTAGTATGAATTAGACAAATTATAATGAGAATTTATTTTTTGTGGAGGTAAGTTCCGGTAGATTCCAACTCTATGTTGCCAACCCCATTAAAATAATTAATATTGTCAACAGCACCTCCTCTCCCCTCTAAAACAGATAGAAGGCGGATGATGTTCTCTGTGACAAGGAAAAGGTATCAAACTAAAAAAAAACAGAGTACTTCGTATAAGTGAGCTGTGAGGGACGATGTTCAGACTCGAAAGAAGCTATTGATGAAAGGCAACCTGCGGATCACCAGCGAGTGACGGTATTTATCCGGAGGGAAGTCTGGGCGAAGTGGCAACTCTCTGCCTCTTTCTTCACCTGCGGCTTCTTCACCTCCCACTTCTTCAGTCTTCACCTGCGGCTGTGTGTGGAGTGTCGGAAGTGTAGAATGTCCCTAACTTGGGGTGTAGCGACTGGGGTGGGCAAAAATCACAACAATGTCATTGCCTATGATTATTACTACGTATTTAAATCTACATTTATACTGTTATTTTGATTAATTCACACTTTCACCGTATTTGCTAGTTCATACGGAGTATGAAGTATGGAATCGAATCAATGTATGGTTTAATTATTTTAAATTTGTACTATTATACGGAGTAGTTTATTTAAAATTTATTAATTATGTAATACTACCTCCGTCCCAAATTAATTTGCAAAATTAACATTTCTTGGTGAAACAGTTTCATTTTATTCACTTAATTAGGATGTCAATTTCTAATTATATTTAATTTGGAGTTTGCAACTTTGAGTAGATTTAATGTAGTTTCTGAATATGTAAATTTTAATTGTTAAAAATTGAATTAATTATCAATAAAGATGATTTACCTTCAACATTGGTTGACCAAAAAGTATTGCCTTTGCATATCAATTTGGGAGGAAGAAAATGTGAAAATTGATAAATTATGTGGATTTTTGGAGGGTGATTAAACTTTAATTTCCCATTAAACATTTGAAAAAAATGACATTGTATTGGTATGGCATGATACCGTCCCGTTTGAAAATGGAACCATACCGAACGAGTTAGGTATAAGAGTATAAGACCGAACCGAACCCGTTTGAATAGTAACGGTATGGGTACGAGGCCGGACCGCGTCCACCCCTAATAGCAACAGGCAGATAAAGCTAAAAATATACAACAACAAAAAAGTTGAGCGGTCAAATGACCGCTTTTTGTGAAAAGCGATGATTCAATGAAAAGCAGATGTTTTTCTCCCAATCGAGCTCCGAAAAAGAGACGGGAAAGCGCTTCATTCTCACGCACAGGCACTTCTCAGAAGCCAGGCGCAGGTGAAGCGCTCACCTGCGCTTTGTCGCTTAATGGCGCTTTTGACCACTTTTAATAAGTTTGCGCTTCATCCGTGAAAGCAAATACTTATCTGAAACGTGCAAATAAAATAAAAAGTTTGAAGAGTATTTGATACACAAGTTTGGAAATATAGGGTAGTAGAGATATAGAATATATGAAGAGCAGTGTTTCAGATTAGAAAATTTGAGCATCTAAAATTCATTACAGACCAAGCAACTGCAAATTGTGTTTCATCACTGGAAAATTGAAACATGACATAATTTGTGTTCAAAATTATTTGATAAAGTTGGAAGTTGAAGAGACGAATACTGAATATAGAGGGTAGAAATAAAATACGAGGATAGTGAAGAAACATGAATTGTGGAATACGAGGCAAGAGTCAAGGGGGGGCTTGTAAAATTATGGATGTTTCTAGGTATGCAAGTAATTGTAGACTGAACTATACTTCTTTAGTCCAATGCATATGTGATGTTAGTCCCAATATGTTAATTTGCTCCAGTATATTCAGGGAAGCTTATAACTAATTTCTTACAAGTAGTTCCTTTTTATTCAAATAATTGAATAGATCACATTAAAGTGAAGATAGTAAGACACCAGACTGATCATTAGTCAACTAATTTCTTACAAGTAGTTGGCAATTTCGGCCGACCCGTTGGATACCCGCACCGAACCGATTTGGTCAAACTGGGGAAAACCGGTTTGACTGGGGAATGGGTACGGGGCGGGGAATACCCGAATTTTTTAAATGGTTAATGGTGCGGTTATGATGCGGGTGCCCGCACCGGTACCCGATCCGTAACATTATTAATGAATTGTAACTTTTTATATATAAGAATAATAAGTATATACGGAGTATGTTAAATTGTGTATGCTAAATAGTATATATACAGAGTACGGAGTATCATATAAATAATGCTAAAAAATATACTACCAGTACTTTTTTAGGCCTAAAACTAAATATAGGCCTAAACTTGATTTTGGAATTTGGATTCTGGGATGATTACTATTTTTTTATTATGTTACAAGAGATATCAGGTGCATGTCATACTAATGAATTTAGTCCAGTCTTTTGATTGCTTAAATATTTACTTTTGTATGTTTTAGGGTGCTTTGAATATATAAATAACAAATAGGATTAGAAATTGGTTATTTGTTTCCCAAAAAAAATAGTTTTATGGTATCATTTGGGGAAACGGTTACCCGTGGATAAACCGATTCCCCGTTGGGGCGGGTACGGTTCAAATAAAAATTACCCAAACGGGTAATGGGGCGATTTTGAGGCAAACATTTATCCAACGGGGCGGTTTCGGTTTTATGTGTACTCATATGATACAATAATACAACTTAAAGTATGTAAGTGCTAGCTAGTAGTATTTGTGGATGTTAAAATATTTAAAAATGTTAATAAGTTACTAATATGAATATTACTACCTCTGTCCCCTAATTTTGGGACGGAAGGGGTATTGTGGTTTTTAAGGAAAGTGGAATAATGTGGTTGATAATGAGTTGATAAAGTGAGAATAAAGTAAAATTGAATTAGAGCCACACAACTATTACCAAATATGGTATGTAACAAAATTAGTGAGATGAACAAAAAAAAGAAAAATGGAACAATTATAATGGGACAGCTGGAGTAATTTACAGGCAAAATCATTTTAAAATGAAAGAGCATATCTGGTGGTTGGTCATAAATGAGTTGGGTTTGAATATTAGGTCATATAAACTTATCTAATACTCGATATAATGTTTGGAAATGGAAATTACCTCCAAAAGTCAAATCCTTTTTCTGGCAGGTTTGTGTCGGTTTGCTTCCAACCAGGTGTGCTTTGAGATAAAGAAGAGTCAACTGTCCAGTTGAATGTGGCTTGTGTAAGGGAGCTGCTGAGACATCGCTGCATCTGTTCGTTCAATGTCCGGTGACACTTGAAGTCGGGCGAGTGATGGGGTGGAAGATTCTGGGGCAGAATGCTACTTCTTTCCTGGAGTGGTTAGAGGTTAATTTCCAAGCTCAAAGAGAGGAGGATTTGCAAGCGGTGGTTTTGGGGTGCTGGGGAATTTGGTGTGAGCGTAATAAGAGGGTGTGGCAGGGGTCCGAATCTAATGCCCAGCAGGTTGCTTCCAGGACGAAAGCCTTCTTCGAGGGCTGGTTTATGGCATATAAGGGAGGAGTCCGATCTGGCTCTTTGGCGTTGAATGGGTTGGCTTACTGGCAGCGCCCTATAGCTGGAAGAGTGAAGCTAAATGTTGATGCTTCAGTGGGAGATTCAGGTTGTGGTTTAGGTTGGGTACTTCGGGATGAAAATGGCGAGTTCTTGGTTGGAGGAGTGCAACCGTGGCAGGGGGGCTGCACTCCGGTTGAGGCAGAGTTGACGGGAATTCGGGAGGCTCTTAGCTGGCTTAAGGAGCGGGATTGGAATTTAATTGATGTGGAGTCAGATTCACTACAGGCTATCTCCGAGGTTCTTAAAGGGTCAAGCTATTCAACAATGGGACTATTAGCTGAAGATATCAATATTCTGAGAATGCATTTCACTAATGTTACATTCTCTCATGTTAGGCGTTCTGCGAATACGGTGGCTCATGTTTTAGCAAGGGCGGCGTGTTCTTTGTCTGATCGTCGTTTTTGGCTTTTTAATCCGCCTGATTTTATTGTTCATGTACTTCACCATGATTTGATTAATGCCAATTAATTTTACATTGTTCAAAAAAAAAAATACTCGATATAATGTTTATTTGAGAAAGACAAACATTTTTTCAAATAGTGAAGAGACTATAATTATTCCTTTCACTTGAAACATTCATGGTCTAAAGGTGTTCTATAGTAATCCAACTCATCCTCCTAATGTTAAGTAGTTGATACACGACTTTTCGGGTGATAGTAGAAGATATACAGTAGAAATGGAGAAAATATATTGTAGTGTACAATACTACGTATTTCTGAAGGAATTTTATTATTTATAATAATAAAATATTATACTTAATTATAAGTAGATTATAAAGAGAAAATAATATGAAGACATCTTCAGAAATTATATTAAAAGTTTTATAAAGTTAATAAAAGAACATTTAATTTTAATAAAAGGTTAATATATAAAGTAAAAGATTATGTAGCGCTTTACATTGACCAGAGAATAGGACAATGCTCTTTGGTCAATGTAAACTGCTTTATAATCTTTTACTTTATATATCAGCTTTTATTAAAGTTACATTTTCGTTTATCAACTTAATAAAACTTTTAATGTAGTTTCCATATATGTATATCTTCATATTATAGTCTATTTAAAAATGTATGATAAGTCGAGAAGTTATATTGTACAATAATTTGGGAGGAATTTTATTATTTTTAAGGGAAAATCGCATTTTTAGTCCTTGAAATGGTCACCATATTGAAATATTAGGCCCGTATTTATGTGATTGTATATGTTACCCCTCAATTGTCCAAATTGCTATAAATGTACTCCGCACTCACATTATACATTCCGTCACTCAAAGGATCATATTTAAAGCAATTTTGACAATTGAGTGGTGACATTTACAAGCTGGGGAACACAAGTCTGACATTTTAATATGGTGACTATTTCAGAGACTAAAAGTGTGATTTTCCGTATTTTCAATAATAAATGAATACAAATAAATTATATACGGATTATAATATATAAATAATATATATAATGACATTTCATACCAAACCAGATTAATGATTTTTTTTTATTTCAATTTAAATTTTATGGTCCGATCTAATCTGATTTGATTTGGTCTGAACCGGTCTGATCTTATCTTGTCTTATTCGATGGATAATTCGACATTTAGTTAGTTAATTTGCCACATGTTTAATTATTTAAGATATTTGATCACAAAAATTATATAGGCTAGGATGTGATTTAGGCATTTAAGAACACATGGCCGTTAACTTCTCTGTAGGGAAAATGTCCTACTTTGAGGGAATAGGGAGATTTTTGCTCCAAAATTAAGTTTGAGGGCCAATGCCCTTGAGTTACAACTCTACGGTGATGTTGCCCCTTTTCCCTAATTTAAATGTAAGAAGCATAAAAAATTGATTATGTGGGAAGCCTCACTTAGATGCTTTTCAAATTGAAGTTAAGTAAAAGATGTCAATGAATAGTAAAAAGTAGGAAAAATGGATCAATAATCTCACTTTTTACTGTTCTTCTCATAATAATCTCGCTTTTGAACCCCATCTTATTTCGTTGGATCCTGACCGGTTGGTGACATGATATACCGGTTTTTTTACTCTTTCTTTGAAAATCTTACATAAATAATCCCACCTTTCACAAATCTCCTTAAAAACGGTCCCATGTTTC